AAAGCTATCTTGTCTGATAGTTGAGCAAAAAATTGCATCCTTTATTTTGGCCTTGGAAAGAATTTTTATTAGAGAGAGAGACAGAGACATCATTTTGTTGTCCCACTTAGTTATGCATTCATTGGTTGATTCTTTGTGTGTAGCCTGACTGGGGATAGAACCTACAACTGGTATATTGGAATGGTGCTCTAATCAGCCGAGCTACCTGGCCAGTGCTCAATTTCTTATTTTCTAAGTTACATGTTTGTCAACATATACTTGACGCTGAAGGATTTCTCTGTGGACCACTTGTTAGTTCATGGATCAAAATATAATCAGTATGTGGTAAAAAGGAGAGGTCTCTGTACCACTGCTGTGAAGACAGGAATCTGTAATATGATTGTATGGGGTGCTCCTCACTTCCTGAGGTTTTATGCTCTAACTCCTCTTACCTGCTCTCTTTCAAAAAGCACATTGCCTGCCGAAACCGGTTTGGCTCAGTGGATAGAGCGTCGGACTGCGGACTGAAAGGTCCCAGGTTCGATTCCGGTCAAGGGCATGTACCTGGGTTGCGGGCACATCCCCAGTAGGAGATGTGCAGGAGGCAGCTGATCGATGTTTCTCTCTCATCGATGTTTCTAACTCTCTATCTCTCTCCCTTCCTCTCTGTAAAAAAATCAATAAAATATATTTTTTAAAAAAGCACATTGCCATAGAATAGGAATGCAAGAAGGTTGATTTTAAATAATAACTTTCTTTTAGAATGAACATCTTTTAAATTAATGTAACTAAAAAGTACCTGTGAATTATAGCTTGCTCTCTAGGTTGCCTGTTTGTGAAGTTTTAAATAAATGAACACATTAAAATTCTCTCCTCTCAGGATTAAATTTATGCAAAATTTAAGAGATTTTTGGGTTGTTTTTTTATAGAAGATTCTTCTCGAATCTAATTCTCTGCATGATATTTTCTTGATGGAGGATTAAACTTTGCTTGCCATTTTGTTCCTTAATTAATTGATAAAGTAATGAGGTCTTACTAGTTTGGGTAACGTGATACTTTGAAACAGTCTATCATTGGAACTTTCCAAAGGAGGTGCGCACACAACTTTTTTGGTGTGCCAGCCTTTAGAGTTGTGTGTTTCAGGGATTTGCTAATCACCAGCTGGCGACCGATTTATAAGGCAGGAAAGACAGGACCTCCTGAATGGTGGCCACTGACTCACCAGTAAGACAGAGTGTGTACTGGCTTCAAGCCTTGTCTATTGGCATGCAGGTCTTGCTGCTGGGAAAGACTTGATGTTGTCAAAGAGCCTATGTGCTACCTTTGGCATCTTTGCCAAATGTCATCGTGTTGTTCTTGACCCTCACTTTGATTTAGCCACTGAGAACTCCATGTAGAATATACTACAGTTGAATACATTATCTTCCTGTTTGTCTCTTCTTTTGTCTGTCTATTCATCCAGTCATCCACGCATTCATTATCCAGCCATCCATATAGCCATCGGTCTATCCATCCATCTAATATGGTATTTAAGCTGTCAATGTATGGACTGGAAGTACAGGCTGGAATTAACCTCTGAAAGCATTGCTTAGAATTGAGGTTGGCAAACCTTTCCTGTAAAGGGATAGACAGTAATATTTTAGGCTTGCAGGCTATGCCATCTCTTGCAACTGCTCAGCTCTGCTGTTGTAGGGCAAACAGCCATAGACAATATGTAAATAAATGTGTATGGCTCTGTTTTATTGGAAAACATTGTTTACAAAAAATTACATGCTATGGGATGCCCACCCCTGGTGTAGAGAGTGGCAGTATCTGACTCAGCATAATTTGTGTGCTATACAAAAACTTTAAAATATGCCTTTAATGCTTATACTTTTCTAACATAGCTTATCTCATAGGATGGTTAGCTTAACTGTCATCTATTTTGAGGTTTACTTACAAAAGTAGTTTTATAGGTTTTACCATTTTGTTATTTTATTTAAACACTAGAGGCCCGGTGCACGGATTCGTGCACCAGCGGGGTCCTTCGGCGTGGCCTGTGGGGATAGGGCCCAAACCAGCAGTCCAATGCCGCCTACCGCTCCTGCTCATCCTGGCCCCACTGCGCCTGCCGCTGCCATTTGGTAGGCTTGCTGCCGCTCTGCTACAGTCTCTGCGTGCCTGTCCTGGGTGATACTTGTACGCCCATGACCAACAAGTGGCTTGCGCCCAGTCAGTCCCAATGCCAGTCCTGATCTAGATGGTGGGGGGGTGTGCAGGGGGAGTGTTCGTGGGAGAGGCTCGCGCCGCCACAGTGGTGCTCGCCAGCCATGGGCCCGGCATCTGGCACCCATCGGTCAGCTGAGCGGCACTCCTGCTGTGGGAGCGCCCTGACCACCAGTTGGCCAGTTGAACGTTCACTTAGGCTTTTATATATATAGACTAGGGGCCTAGTGCATGAATTCATGCACCTTGAAAGGAACAGTGGGCCATGAGGTTGCAGTGGGCACAGGGGCAGGTCTTGGCCCATCCTTTGCACCTCTGCCTGACCCTTCCTGTCATGGCCCCAGGTCCTCTGTCTACTGGCAGCCCTGCTCTTGCCACCACCGCTCCCATGTACTGACATTCGCTGGCCCCACTTGCACCCACTGACGGCGTGGAGCGATTGGGGCCGGCACCAGCAGTGGGTATGAGCAGGGCCGGTGCCATCAGTGGGTGCGAGTGGTGGCTGCTGCCCCGATTGCCCCTTAGGTGCGAGCGGCGGCTGCTGCCCTGATCACCCCTCTGGAGCAGGGGGAGGTGGAGAAGCCCTCAGGGGCTATTGGGGCTGGCAGCTACCATACGCACCCGCTGATGGTGCCTAGTGATTGGGGCTGCTGCCAGGTGCCGGCAGCGGGTGCGAGTGGCAGCTCTGCGCTGGCTGTGGGTGCAAGCGGGGCCAGCACCAGCAGCAGGTGTGAATGCTGGGCGGGACCACGATGCGCGGGAGCAAAGAATTTTTAGTAACCACCAGAGGCTCGTCCCGATGACAGCGACTGTTGCCCTGCCTTGTTCTGGTGCCCCCGCTCACCTGCTTCACCTTCCTGCTGCAGCCAACGCCCGCCATGTTCCACACTCTGCCACCTGCTGCCGATGCTTAACATGTTCTGCGTGTCCCCTGGTGGTCAGTGCACATCATAGCGACTGGTTGTCTGGTTGTTCGGTTGTTCCCCCTTTTGGTCTATTTGCATATTAGCCTTTTATTATATAGGATATTGGTGATTGAAAAAATATGGTCTCTCTCTAGCATTGGTTATAGAAATGTCATTGGATTGAAAATATACAAAAATACAAGGAATAAAATTTTCTGCCACATCACTGATAACAGCACCATTGAATTGGATAGGTTTTACTTATAAATATGACAAAAAAAAACACAAATCACCTTTATTTTTGACCTGAAAACATGGTCAAGTTATATTGCTAAGTGGGGAAAAAAGGGAGATTATAGAAGGGTTCTTAACATGTAGAAGAGTTCTTAACAGCATGTACGATGTGATTCTGTGAAAAGAAAAACATTACATATGTCTTTATATTACCTGAGAACCTGGCTTAGAGGCTGTATATGTATCTAGAAGCAATGCCCCCGATTCCACTGCATAATTGGCTCTGCAAATATTCCCCAGCAATTGTCAGTGAGCATGGAACTGCAGTCTGAATCATGAATACCTCTGAGCCTGGATAACAGGTCTGCCTCCACTGTTACTAGTACTCTGGAATAGATTCTGGACACTTGCTGTTCCTGTGTGTTATCAGTTTCCAATTCAGAGTTTGGCATGGGTGCATTTGATTGGCAGAGCCCGTTTTGTGCCCTAGCCACAAGAGAAGCTGAGAAACTGAATACGTGGACTTCACTTTTGTCGTGGAGAAAGGGTCCTACCTCATAAGATGGGGCATTTCCCAAATTGTAGCAATAGGATTAAGAAACCTGAATGCCACAGAGAAAAAGCTGTCCACTGCAGACATCCAGGAAATTGTTGGCATTGATTACTTTTACCCAATGGATTTGGAAGGGCTAACTGGGTTGCAGAGAGAACTTTTTACTTTATTCTGTAGTGCTCCTTGAATAAAAAAAAATTATGTAGCAATGATAATATAACCATGGGGAAAAATGAACAAAAGAGAGCTTTTTCCACTCCTCCCTCCCCCCCCTCCCCCCCGCAAGTTCCACTGTAATGCTCTCACATAGGAATTCAGGAAGGCCTCCAAATATAATTGGGTAATTCTGTTAACTTATTACTTAATTTAATTTTAAGAAATTTGCCTTATGATTTCCTCACGAATTTAGTCAGCTCTCTATTGCTTGTTCTTGGTTGGGCAGAGAAATCATTAAATGGTTTTCTCTGTGATGCCAGTGGCTATTCATTTTGGCCTGGTGGAGCTGATTCAGTTTCTCTCTTTGAGTACCACAGGATTCAGTCTTGAAAATTAAGGTGTTGTCAGGTTGACAAAGTGTTCATAATTGCAAAGTGTAAAAATAAAATATTGGGCCCTGCTATGTGGTTTTATCCCTTCCCCCAAACTTTTATAAATTTGCTCCTTGATAGAAAACGTGTCTGGGAACTTAATTGAGTCCAATAAAGTTTTAGCAGATATATTAAAAAAAAAATTTAGCTTTATTGTTCAGAACAGTTTTAGATTTATAAAAAAAAGTATGAAGGTAGTACACCCAGTTTTCCATGGTACTAACATCTTACATTAGTATGTTACAGTTTGATACATTATTATTATGTAAAGCCTACACTTTATTGTCTTAGTTTTTACCTAACGTGCTTTTTCTGTTCCAGGATAGCTGATATATTTCATACATTTATATTGTATTTTTCATCTGTATAGTCATATCATGAAGCTGTATGGTAAATGCCATTTCTGTTATAAGTAACCTGACATTTATGGAAGAATAAATAAAGCTTTGCCACAATGAGTTTCTTATATTCTTTCATGTACAAATGTCACACAAGAGAAACTAATTAACCTTTCATTTTCCCCCGTTTCATATTCAGTGGAACAGGTTCCTGTGGAACCATACAACATCCCCCTGTCCCAGGCCGAGGTCATACAGGAAGGGAGTGATGTTACTCTAGTTGCCTGGGGCACTCAGGTGAGTAATATTTATACCAACTGGTAAGGTTCATGTGCTTGAAAGCGCTTACTTTTAATCCTGATACTAAGAAGAATTAAAAACAATGCTTTCCTTATGTCAAATTTGACTTGTTGCTGGTACTGATTTTTGATGGAAGGTCAGGTGCTTATTCAGTCATTAAAATATATATGCATACTAGAGGCCCGGTGCACGAATTCATGCACCAGTGGGGTCCCTTGACCTGGCCTGCGGGATCGGGCCGAAACAGGCTCTCCTGAGGGGTCCTGGATTGCAAGAGGGTTCAAGCCAGGCAGAGGGACTCCACCGGAGCATGATCATGGCCAGGGAGAGACGGGGGAGGTTGGCCAGCTGGAGAAGGACCACGGGAGGGCTCCAGGTGTGTCCAGCCCGTCTGGCTCAGTCCTGATCAGCCAGACCCCAGCAGCAAGCTAACCTACCGGTCGGAACGTCTGCCCCCTGGTGGTCAGTGCACATCATAGCAACTGGTTGACCAGTTGACTGTCTGCCCCCTGGTGGTCAGTGCACATCATAGCAACTGGTTGACCAGTTGACTGTCTGCCCCCTGGTGGTCAGTGCACATCATAGCAACTGGTTGACCAGTTGACTGTCTGCCCCCTGGTGGTCAGTGCACATCATAGCAACTGGTTGACCAGTTGACTGTCTGCCCCCTGGTGGTCAGTGCACATCATAGCAACTGGTTGACCAGTTGACTGTCTGCCCCCTGGTGGTCAGTGCACATCATAGCAACTGGTTGACCAGTTGACTGTCTGCCCCCTGGTGGTCAGTGCACATCATAGCAACTGGTTGACCAGTTGACTGTCTGCCCCCTGGTGGTCAGTGCACATCATAGCAACTGGTTGACCAGTTGACTGTCTGCCCCCTGGTGGTCAGTGCACATCATAGCAACTGGTTGACCAGTTGACTGTCTGCCCCCTGGTGGTCAGTGCACATCATAGCAACTGGTTGACCAGTTGACTGTCTGCCCCCTGGTGGTCAGTGCACATCATAGCAACTGGTTGACCAGTTGACTGTCTGCCCCCTGGTGGTCAGTGCACATCATAGCAACTGGTTGACCAGTTGACTGTCTGCCCCCTGGTGGTCAGTGCACATCATAGCAACTGGTTGACCAGTTGACTGTCTGCCCCCTGGTGGTCAGTGCATTAAAAAAATACGTTTTTTATTGATTTCAGAGAGAAGGGAAAGAGAGAGAAGGATAGAAACATCAATGATGACAGAGAATCATTGATTGGCTGCCTCCTGCATACCCTCTTCTGGGGATCGAGCCTCCAATCTGGGCATGTGCCCTGACCTGGAATCAAACTATGATCTCCTGGTTCACGGTTTGATGCTCAACCACTGAGCCACACCTGCCAGGCCTTGCCTCCCTTTTAAATAGGGAAATTAGGATGTATTAGATAGTAACTTCCCTTACTTGTTTTCCCTTTACACCTATCACTTCTTTCAGTCCTTTCCTGTTTTCTTTGTCTTCAAAGGGGGGGTATCTGTCATAGCTACTTCTCCAAAGCTGTTTCAGATTATATTCCTTTTTTTTATTTTAGTACTGTGATAGATCAATTGGTCCCTCTCTCTCCTCATCTTCAGTTTCTTCTTTCCATGTCCATTTTATTAAAAAGGTGTATATCTCTTCATTATCTAAAAAATACATTTTTTCATCCTATTTTTCTTTTCAATATTAGTATAGCTTCCTCTTTTCTTTGATTACTAATCTTGAACAATTTCTCCCCAAGTGTTTTACTTGTTAACTTCCTTATGATTTTGTACCTTATGAATTCTGTTCCCACTAAATCACTAAAACTATTTCTGCTAACATTACTAACCTTCTAATTGTTAAATCTAACTCTATCCCATATTTCTATGGTATATGGCACTTGCTACTCTCTTATTTAGCTTCTGGAATACACAGTCTCCTTATTTTCTTCTTGTTTCTTTCTTTGTTTTGTTTTGTTGTTGTTGTTGTTTTGTTTTTGAGCTCCTTTCATCTGTTTTCCCCTTACTTGTTGGTCATCTGCAGGGTTCCATGATTCTGCTGTTTTCTTCTGTTTCTTTCTTTGTTTTGTTTTGTTGTTGTTTTTGAGCTCCTTTCATCTGTTTTCCCTTTACTTGTTGGTCATCTGCAGGGTTCCATGATTCTGCTTTTGACTCTTCCCTTTAAATGCTTTCCCTAGAAACTCCACTTACTCCTGTGATTTGACCTCTGTGGCTGATGTCTTTGGAACTGGTATCTCTAGTAATGACTTCTCTCACTTTCTCTAGGAACCTCTTTCCACCTGTTTTCTAGACATTTGTACTTTATTATTTTGGTGGAATATTGAGTTCAACATGTCTAGAACAAATTTATTAATTCTCCGTGAAGATCAATTCCTCCGACTTTAAGTAGTACTTCTATTAATGATGTCAGAACTCAACTAATGTTTTAGGCCTGAATTTCTGTATTCATTCTCTACATATTTTTCTCCTTATTTCAGGTTCATGTGATCCGAGAGGTGGCTTCCATGGCTCAAGAAAAGCTTGGAGTGTCTTGTGAAGTCATTGATCTGAGGACTATACTACCTTGGGATGTGGATACAGTTTGCAAGGTGAGACTATAGAATGTCATTTCCTTAAAATCTTGGGCAAAATTTGTTGAATATTTGCAAAGAATTGTTTTGAAATTTTGAGCATTGTGAGCATTTTGGACTGATTTTAAACTTTAAAAATTTATACCATGAAAGAAATGTATGCTATATAATAAGCCAAACACTCAAGAAAACAAATCACTTAGGTGTTTTTCTTCCCATTGTTCTCTATGTTGATTTGAAAATACTGTATAACTGTGTCCTTCATAAGGCCAGCTTGGGTTGAATTGTGTGAGTAATGGAGTCGTGTAAATAAACACAGGAAGGTCATCTGAGTTTTTAACTTCTGGTTAGTTATAATTTAATAAGCTAGGTTTAATATAGTCAGAAATAGTTTGGCTAAATTGTCTTTTGTCTCTTCTCTAAAAGAAATGGAGATGGATTATTTAAAAAAACTAACTCTTTATATAGCCTTAATACTATGGATCACAGTTTGAATGTTATGTTGTGGTATTCTGGCTGCTCTAATCTATAGTTTTCTATCATCTAAGCTTCCTCTTAAACTTTGGCCTGATTAGATTGATCTTGTTGCTTATTATTCATACGATTCACATAGTCCATTCTCAAGGGTACAGCTTAGTTCTGATTTACTGGGCTGTAACCAATATCATCTACTCCTTTATTGGTATATAAGTAAGGTTAAGCTCTTTTTTGTGATGGTTTTATCTACTAAAGCTTGGGTAACATTGCATGTGTTCTTTTCTTGATTTATTGCTATAGCAAATAAGTCTTATGACCTTAGGGTATTTTACATTTACTATTTTAAAGAACTTTGGCATTATCATAGCTTTACAGGCTATTTCATAGGTTAGTTACATGAAAATAATCTGCAGTTACTCCTGCTATAAAAGTATAGCATAGAGTGGATTTATTTATTTATTTATTTATTTATTGTTAATCCTCACATGAGGATATTTTTCCATTGATGTTTAGAGAGAATGGAAGGAAGGGGGAGAGACAGAGAGAGGGAAACATAGGTGTGAAGGAGACGCATCGATTGCTTGCTCTCCCTCACGGGCCAGAGATGGAGCCTGCAACCAAGGTACATGCCCTTGCCTAGAATTGAACCCAGGACCCTTCAGTCCGTGAGTGGACACTCTATCCACTGAGCCAAACCGGTTAGGGTGTATAGAGTGTTTTTAGGTGAAGATTGTGATGCGTGTATAAGAACTTTATATAGAAAAGTCACAAACTATTACTTAGTGAGAATAGAGAAGATCCAAACTAACTGAACCACATACCATGTTAATGATTGTAAAGCCAAGAATAGCCAAGGCAATTTTGAAGAATAAAGCCAGGAGATGTGATTATTAGGTGTCAAAGTGTTTTATAAGGCTATAGTAATTATAATTTGTATTAGTGTAAAGACAGACAAATAGACCAATGGAACAGAATAAAAGAGTCCATAAACAGACTGTTGTGTCATCTGATTCAGGAAAAAGGTGAAATTGCATTCAGAGTGGAAAAGGTGGTCTTTTTAATAAATGATGCTGGTTTAGATAGGTACCATGGAAAGTATCACACAAATGTCAATTCCAGATGGAATTCCAGTTCTGTCAAAGAAAAAAAATGATGAAGCTCTTGGGAAAAAGCATAGGTGAATATCTCTATGGTCTTGTGCAGGCAAAGATTTCTTTTAAAAAAAATATATTTTTATTGATTTCAGAGAGGAAGGGAGAGGGAGAGAGAGATAGAAACATCAATGATGACAGAGAATCATTGAC